GATCTGCCAGTTGGAAATCAGTATTGATGTACTGAAGATTAATAGTTCCAGCACTAACAAGATCACGTATGAAATGATATTTTATTTCTATATGCTTAGTACGTGAATGTTGCACAGGATTCTTAGACATGCAGATTGCACTAGTATTGTCACAGAATAGAGGTATGCTAGACATAGTAATTCCATAATCTTGTAGCTGACTTTTCAACCACAGTAGCTGAGTACAAGAGCTTCCAGCAGCTATGTACTCTGCCTCAGCAGTGGATAGGGCAACTGCCCCTTGTTTTTTGCAAGACCAGGAGACTAAAGAGGTTCCTACAAATTGACAACTACCAGAAGTGCTCCTTCTATCAGTCAAACTGCCTGCAAAATCCGAGTCACTGTACCCAACAAGATCAAACTGATCATGTTTAGGATACCATAGACCAATGTCCATTGTCCCTTTGAGGTATCTAAAGATTCGTTTAACTGCAGACATGTGACTTTCCTTAGGAGCTGACTGAAAACGAGCACACAAACAGACACTATGTTGAATATCAGGACGACTGGCTGTTAAATAGAGTAAGGACCCTATCATTCCTCTGAATTTAGATTCATCAACTGGTATTCCAGTCTCATCTTTGTCAAGTTTCAGATTCACTGCCATAGGAGTCGAACTGGTATTAAGATTTAACATGTCAAATTTACTCAGCATAGAGGATATATACTTTGTCTGGCTTATAAAAGTTCCAGACTCTGTTTGTTTAATTTGGAGTCCGAGGAAAAATTGTAATTCCCCCATCATGCTCATCTCAAAATCCTCTTTCATAGAGTTACAGAACTCAGAACACATGTCTTTGCAAGTAGCCCCAAACACAATATCATCTACATAAATCTGAACTATAAGCATGTCATTTGATTTGTGTTTAATGAATAAAGTCTTATCAACAGACCCCTGAACAAAACCATGTTCCAGTAAGAATGCAGTAAGTCTATCATACCAAGCCCTTGGAGCTTGTTTTAGACCATATAAAGCTTTTCTAAGCTTATAAACATGATTAGGGTGTTGATGATCCTCAAAACCAGGAGGTTGTGAGACATAGACTTCCTCATTAATATCACCATTTAAAAAAGCACTTTTGACATCCATTTGGTAAAGAGGGAAACCCATGTAGCAAGCATAAGCACATAGCAAACGAATTGATTCTAACCTAGCAACAGGGGCAAAGGTTTCATCATAATCCACCCCTTCCTCCTGTGAGTAACCTTGTGCCACTAATCTGGCTTTATTCCTAATTATAGTTCCATTTTCATCTGATTTGTTCCTAAACACCCATTTGGTTCCAATCACAGATTGGTTTAAGGGTCTAGGCACAAGATCCCAAACATGAAGAGATTTAAATTGAGCTAATTCATCAACCATAGCAAAGAACCATTCATCATCTTTAATTGCTTCTTTATAGTTTTTAGGTTCAAATTGTGAAACATAGGCATACTGTCCAGGAATATACTTACCTCTTGTTCGAAGACCATCATTTAGGTTACCTATGATCTGGTCTGATGGATGTCTCTTCTGAATGTGAAGAGGTGCTTTGGCAGCAGTGGTTGTGAGATCTTCACTTGTTGTTGCACTCTGCTGACTAGGATCTTCATCAGTTTTTGATGTTTCTTCAGGTGCAACTTCTTCAGCTGGTTCTGAGCCAGTTCTGATCATTTCCAAAAGATCATATTCCTGCATATCCTGCTCAGTATCCTCATTCACGATGTTAGAATCATTAAATATAACATGAACAGATTCTTCCACTTTCTGGGTCCGTTTATTATAAATGCGATAAGCTTGACCCTTTATAGAGTATCCTAGAAAGATGGCTTTATCAGATTTTGCATCAAACTTACCTAGCCTATCTTTAGTATTCAAAACATGACAGGAACATCCAAAAGGATGAAAATAACCAAGATTAGGAGTCTTATTTTTGAAAATTTCATAAGGAGTTCTATTAAGACCCTTTCTAATCAAAACACGATTAGTAACATAACAGGCAGTGCTCACAGCTTCAGCCCAAAAGGCTTTTGGTAGATTATAATCAAGGAGCATAGTACGAGCACATTCAATGAGAGTCCTATTTTTCCTTTCTACAACTCCATTTTGTTGAGGAGTTCTAGGAGCAGAAAATGTGTGAGAAATACCTAACTCATTGCAAAGTTTTTCAAATTCTTCTGACACAAACTCCCCTCCATTATCACTTTTAATAGTTTTGATCTTATCCAGAAACAGCATGATAAAAGTTTTGAATTTACCTAGAGCATCATCCTTATTAGCAAGAAAGTACACCCAGGTGTATCTAGAGTAGTCATCTACAAGCACGAACACATAATTTTTACCCCCTAGACTGGTAACATTACATGGACCAAATAAGTCCATGTGAATCAATTCAAACATTTCATGCGAGGTGATATCAGTTTTAGATTTAAACGGTTTCCTAGCATGTTTCCCACTCACACACGTTTCACAAAAAAAGTCAGTTTTAGCCTTTAGAATTGGTACTCCTCTAACAAGACCTGACTTAGTTAAATCAACAAGCTTTTGAAGGCTAACATGACCCATCTTTCTATGCCAAGTCATTTCTTGTTGAAAAGAAGAAACAAAACACAGTTCATTAAAGGCACTGAGGTTACTTAAGTCAATGACATACATGTTATTAGTTCTTATCCCCACAAACATAACTTTTTCATCTTTGTTTCTCTTGACAATACACCTATCAGCTTCAAAAGTAACATGAAAACCATTACTGCATAGCTGACTTATTGACAAGAGGTTATGTTTTAGCCCTTCAACCAGTAAGACATTTTTAAATGATGGGAAAGGTTTCTTTCCTATAGTTCCAGATCCAATAACCTTTCCACAACCATTATCCCCAAACCAGACTTTACCTCCATTCATCAGGGTTAAAGAAGAGAATAAAAGTTTCTTACCAGACATGTGGTGTGAACAACCACTGTCGAGATACCATTTTTGTTCCTCAGTTTCAGATTCAGATACCTTTTCTTCTTCAGTGAACTCTGTTTTAGCCATGAAGGCTTCATTTTCAGACTCCTGTTCTTCTTGATCCGAATCATAATCACTCCAGGAGGCCTTCATTGCCTTTTCTTTTGCTTTTAAAGTCTGTGGACAGTTGGCTCTAATGTGGCCAAATTTTCCACATTTATAGCAAGCTTGGGACTCCCTCTCCTGCTGACCTGTTTCAAACTTTCTGGTCTGCTGGGGTAGCAGCCTACTTTGAGAAAAATTCTTAGTACCTCCATATCTGGAGTCATCCAGACGTTGTTTTTGATCATTTTTGAATTTTAGCATTCTGTGAAATCGTTTGCTAACAAGAGCAAACTCCTTTTCAAAGTCATTTTCCAGATCACTATCTTGTTCATAGTCCATGATTTTAGATTTAAAAGCTAGATTTTTGCTACGTTTTTCGTCCTCCTGACTCACTTGTTTCAAAACATGCTCATGACTTAGCAAGGAACCTATCAACTCACTGATAGGCAAGGTAGTCAGGTTTTTAGCTTCTTCAATAGCAGTTCTTTTAGGTAGCCACTCTCTTGGCAAAGATCTAAGTATTTTTCTGTTAAGGTCCTTAGTCTGAAATGTTTTACCTAATCCCTTCAACTTGTTTATAAGAATTGTAAACCTAGAATACATCTCATGTATACTTTCAGCCTTACTCATACTAAAAGCCTCATAGTCATGAACAAGCAAATCTATACGCGATTCTTTAATATTAGAAGTACCTTCATAGGTGCTCTCAAGCGTAGTCCAGATCTCCCAGGCTGTTGCACAGTTTTCCACTTGATCCGCTTCATCAGGATTCATGGCCGATTGTAAGACATGCATGGCCCTCTGGTTGAGCTGCGCGCTCTTCTTCTGTTCTACTAACCAGAGTGATTGCTCGTCGTCCTTCATGTCTACCGGTCCATTTTGCACGACCAGCCAGAGATCTTCGTCGATCCCCCACATAAATTGCTTCATCCGTTTCTTCCACGCGGTGTAATTCGAACCGGTGAAGATTGGGGGATGATTTAGAGCAGCATGACCGAAGGAACTAGATGCCATTGGATCGAAAAGCCTTGGCAGTAGTTAGCTTCGTCAAGAACCAGGCTCTGATACCAATTGTAAGAGGTATCGCGGAAGAGAAAATTAGGGTTCAAGAGAGGAATTTCAGAGAATCGAAGGGAAGCGAAAAGAGCGAATAAGAGACTGAAGGGAAGAAGTGTCTGAAACACTTCGTTCAGTCACTATTATATACTTGGGCTCAAATATGCTAGGCCCACTATCCTATTCTCACTTGTTAAAGCCGAGACCAAAGAATAACAGGCTGAAAGCCCAGTCTCGGTGAAATGTCAATTCCAGAGGGAATTGCTTCAACAAGCCAAGAACAGAGACAGCAAAATGAAGAACAGAGTCAGACTCAGGGACTCGAGTGCAGAAACTGAAAGTGCAGAAAGATAAATAACACGCGATCTTTTTAACGTGGTTCGCCCAAGTGCAATGGTTTACTTCCACGTCCCAGAATATGGTCTGGGAGACCTTTATTACTTATGGTTTTGATTGAAAAATAAGAACAAAGGAATACAAATAAAATGACAGAAGGAAGATAAATCGATAGCCCAGATCAGTCTTGATCTTATCAACCTTGACACACTCAGAACCTCTACCTCTGAGTGAATCAAGCCCTTTTGGTGAATCCTGCTTAAAGCCCTCTACCGCATCAAGCTTCAACAAAAAGTGTCTTCGAAAGAGATGCCAACAGAAATATATAAACAGAGCAGCTAGCCGTTAGGATTCATATAAGGTAATTTCCAAATCAGCCAGCTGTTCCCTTTGATACTGCTTGAGACAAAATGAGGCAATCTCCATACTTGCCAATTTCAACAATCCCCGACCTCGTATCCAAGCTCCTCCATCACTACCCCGTGGGGGCGGAGGAGGCCATCACCGTCTTCGTCCCGTCGGACGACACAGAGTACGAATGGTGCGAAACGGAGCGCCCGGAGGTCCGCGTACTGACGGGCCGGGTCAATCAGGAGTCGTTCGGGCCGGGCGGGCTGTCCTACGGGTCGGTCCTGCCGGCCCGAGACGGCGGTGGCAGCCCGATTCGGGTCACGGAATCCGCCGACCACAGAGGTGCGGTCGTGGATTGGGATTTGTACGACGACGGCCGCCGCCTGGTCGTGCACGGGATGCGCGGCCGGACGGTCCCTCGGCACAGATGGGTGCGGACCGGGCCGGGATGGTTGGTCGTCTCGGGTCTGATTGTGGAGAAGAGAGGACCGCGGGACCCTCGTTGCCCCGACCCTGACCCGGATATGATGCCGAAAGGCAAGGAGGAGGAGGAGGCTTACAGGAGCGAGTATGTCCGGCGGGTGGATGGCGGCCAACTTCCAGCATTGTTGCATAACGGCCCAGTCCCAGCATTCCATTGCGACCGTAAACATTGCTACTAGAGGGAGGGATGGGGAAGGTGGAATTAGATTCGAATTTGAAGGCCCCTGACTGAAAATCAACCATTCAACTGTACAATCACTCGAATTATGATTGTGTTCGTACTTTTTTTGTTTTTCTGGGTTTCATTTATGTCGGATTATTTGATGAGTTACTGCAACAGAAATAGTGGTTCTATTTCACTCATAATTATTTGGCTGTTTGATTTGGTTTGGTTTGACTCATAATCTGGCTGGAGTAACACACTTTTCACTTTAATCATTATATGATTTCTTTTAAGGCTAGACGATGAAAGAAATCTATAAGATATATGATGGAGATTCATGACTCAACTTTCTTCCATTTCAAATTTTCTGCAACGAGAGTGAAAGTAGGAAGGGTACTTTCGTCATTGCAATTGTTTATTTTTTTATTTGAAAAAAATATCAGTGTCAAGATTTGAACCCGGGTCTCTTCTAACAAGAACAAGAGTCATAACCAATAAGACTAAACAAATTTGTTGCATTTATTTATAAAAAAAACATACAAGAGGCAAAATTCTGAAAATCAAATGACTTTTCCAGCACAGTTAGCTACCCCACTAAGTCTTTCTTAAGCATTTTTAGTGTTGGATCTTTGATTATCATTTATTATTATTTTATTTTGAGTTCAATAATAATGGTAGTCTATCTTATAAATGGAGGATAATCTTAAAACCGCAATCCAAATATCATTTATTCGAATATTGCATATCAAATTACAATATTAAATATATATGTGCACACACAACCACATATATATGGGTCAGACTGGTGTACTCCTGGAGTATATTATACTTCAGGTACTCTTCGTGAGATATCTCTATCTAGACCATGATTTTTAACCGAGTTTGGGGTATGATACTCTACCCTAACCTCTAATGGATAAACCCCAGGCCCCGATTCTCTAAACTCAAACCCAAAGTTTAATTTAATGGAAAATTATAATTGACCATTGAGATTGATTGGAGCTCAACAAAGTACATCTAATGTCTAGATCATGTGGAGTATACTATACTCTTGGAGTATACCAGTATACTATACTCCTGTAGTATACCAGTATGTGTGTGTGTAGTGTTTTCTATCATATTTTGAGTAAAATCAAAAGGTAACTCATACCCTTGGTAAGAAGTGGCAATCTAGACTTTGAATTAACCTGATTTCGAGACGAGACACTATATTCTAACCCTTGACGAGTGAACTCTAGGTCTTAACTATTTAAATCATAGATCCTAAACCAAGGATTATAAAACCTCATCAGAGGTTGTACCGAAAAAGTCGGCAGGAGGGTATTTTATGCGAAAACTGTGGTTAACCGTGATTCAGTCGTTTCACAACACTACATAGTGCCTACTGGTTTAGTCGAACCCCCGGTACGTTAAGGGTTTTCAATCCTTGCCCTAAACACTAAGATTATGCACATAATTTTTTTGATGTATTTTGATGAAACATGACCTTCGATTATTGTTTCTAATAAAATTGATCTTAGTATATGAGCTTCATAGAATTAAGACCTAGATTTTAATCTGTAAGGGCTTAAGGTATAGTACCATGTCCCTAGCTCCGGCCACTAGACATCATTTTCATACTCAGAGTATATCATTCAAGGTCTATATATCATTTCCTTATGTCATTTTCTTAATCAAAATATGATAGAACCACCCATACTTATAGTTGTGTTATCCTGCTGGAAAGTCATTTGTTCTAAATGTTAGTTGGTTGGACTGCAGTTTTATCAGGGTTGTATGTTGTTTGAAACATTTTGAACTTCATTAGTCCAATATTTTTAGTACTCCTATATTATTTAGGGATAATATCCTATTTTGTGTTGAACTTTGATGTAAATAACAATTTTGGCATGAACATTCAAATAAGATAGTTTTGTCCGAATTTGAAAGAAATTAACAAATTTGGTCGGTTATTAATATTGAGGGTCAAACATTTCTTTTTTTTATGACTCAACATACAATGTTAAGGTGACTGTGGTGTGACTTTCACGTCATAGGTATAATATGCTATTTTGCCCTACACTTTCAAATAAGACAGTTTTGTACGAATTTTCAAAGAAATGAATAACTTTGACCCAAAATTTAGGTTGCCGTTAATATTGATGAGAGGGGTACAAAGAGAGATAGCTTCGTGCTTTGGGATTTTTGGGGGCCTGAATCAATTTCTTTTTCCTTTTAATATGATTTATGCAAGTAAATATGAAAATATTAGGATATACTAAGGGTCCTATTTTGTGGTCTTTTTTTCTTTTGAAAAATTCACTTTTTTAGACTTTATAAATAAATGACTTGGAAGCCACATCGCAACCGAAACCTCTCTATCACAACTGTCAATATTAAAGGTCAACCCAAATTTCGGACCAAATTTGTTCATTTCTTTTAAAGTGCAAACAAACCTATCTTATTTGAAAATTCGAGCCAAAATTGTCTTTTACATCAAGTTCATGCCAAAATAAGGTATCATCCCTATGACATGGAAGCCACATCGCAATCGCAACCACCTGAGCATTGTATGTTGAATGGATGAAGAAATTTTTAACTTTTAATATTAACGAACAACATAAATTTCAGTCCAAATTTGTCCATTTCTTTCAAAATTTTGAAAAACTGTCTTATTTGCAAGTTCATGTCAAGTTTGGCTTTTACGACAAACTTCAAGGTCAAAATAAGGTATATCCCTATTATTTATGGTCAACTTACCAATCAAAGTAGTCAGTGAAAGTATCAGCAACACTGACAAAGACAAACATATGTAATTCAAAATTAGTTGCACTCAGCCTTAAGTTTGAAGCTCTCTTGAGAACCCGAACTATTTTCTAGGCATCTTCGGGGACTACGACTAGCATGCTTCCAAACCAGCTGATCCTTATTCTACTTTCTATGAAGAGGAATAATATGGGTGTATCTGTTAGACATTAATTAGGGTTACAAATGATCTCATTCCTAAAATCTGTTAGAGACCAATCTTTTTCTTTCCTTCTGAGGGTTCATTATGTATGTTTTAGGAAAAACAACTCTAATCTTGAACTATTTGCCATTTTTAAGTATTGAAAACCTATTATTTTGTATGTTTTTCTTTTCTTCTTTGAACAATTATATTTCTTTTTTCAGTGATATGTCGTATCTTCCTATTATATTGTAAGCATGTTATATGAACATATTTTTTGTCTAGACTTTCCCGGCCAAGGGGCCGGGCCCGGTGCTAGTAGTAGGTTAATAGTTGGGATTCGTAGATGCGTGTTTGAATTATCTGGATAATTATAATGTTGATGATTAATTGAAGCATGAACCACATTACAACTTCAAGTTTAGTGAACTAACTTGTGTGGTGATCGGCAATGTCATTGAGAAAACGTTATCCAATTTGTTTTTTTGGACCTCTCTCCAAACAAATTTAGTGAAAATAATTTATTTGTCTTGGAATCGGATTAAAACTTTAAAAAATGAAAGGGTTAGATCGCATTGAGTAGGGTGAGCGCGTACTTCATTGGTCGTTACAGATGGTTTTATGGTGTTCGGACAGGTGTGAATTATAAAACAAGTGATCGATATCATTGAGTGGGTCAGAAGATTTTGAATCAAAAATTCTATCGGAATTCTAACTTGTCCTTTCATTCCTGATTTCGAATAAGAATAATAATAATTATAATAATAATAATTATAATAATAATAATTATTATTATTATCATCATCATCATACACTATGTTTGGCAACAAGGAGGGTGCAAATCCGAGAGGGGTGCAAGTTGAGGGCCAAATTGCAAGAGGGTGCAAATTGGTGGAGGGTGTAAGTGGATGGGTAAATTGTTGTTTGGATGAAAAAATAGAAGTGTGCAAATATAGTGAAAGTAATAAAATTATATTATTATTATTATAAAAAGGATGTATTAAAATTATAAAATATGATCAAAAATAATAAAATAAAAAATATTATATATAATAAACATAAATATTAACAAATATAATTTAATAAAATAATTATTAAGACAATAATGCTTTAATAGTAATTTATGATAATAATCATTGATCGAGCAATCTCAAAGCACGAAGCCCAACCTATGGCCAAGACATATAACTAGCAACTAGCTCATGCCTCACACTCGAGCGTTTTGAAAGAGGACACTCATATGTAAATTTTTTGGGTCCGCCACTGACTTCTACTATCATGTTTTCAACCATCCTACAGTCTTGGTTTGTTCATACCACCATAGTGGACGCTTTCAAACCATAAATATATTTTTATTTCAATACCAGTCAATACCATATGGTATAGACTGGTTAGTATTAAACTACCCACACAAACCATTACCATTCATAGAAAAATGTGGATGGGAGAGCGGTTTAGATGTTTGCTAATTTTAGGGATTAGGGTTGGGAGCTTAAAGACAAGAATTTGCCTTTTCTCTAAGCAAACCCGAATAATTATATGTGCAGGCCAAGTAAAAACCAGACTATGACCCACAATATCAATAAATTAGTTAACACCCATAATAATATAAAAAAAATTAGTTAGCTAATTGTGTCTTTCATTAATATTATTATTATTAATCATTACTTGTACACTTGTTTTACCCCTTTTCAGTTCATTCATGACATGAATGGCTCGGTCTCCATCTCCAGCTTTTGAACCTGTCAAAGTAAGACAGGTTTTGGATCTTCACATGGTTTCTTTCTGTTGGTTTACTCTCTCTAGATATATACTATTAAGACATATCAACGTCAAGGTTTGACCATTTCAACGCCTTTACTTTGTTCCTAAATCCTAATATATCATAGTTTATAGGTACCCGACCAAGAATCAATGGTTCCAAAGCATTAGGTAATGAAAGTTTCTTTTGGAATCATCTATGATGTTTTGAGTCAACATAACCTTCATCCTTTCATCAGACTAATCGTGTGTTAAATTGTCGGTAAGGTTTTGTATTAGTTATCAAGCTCAATATTGTTGAAACTCGATCTGGATGTGTTCCGATTTAATCAATCTTTAGAATTTTTTCGTCGGCAAATAGTATTTATCAAGTATGTGGCTTGATCATCAAACACGAGTATCTGATAAATTGTGAGATTTTTTTATAAGAGTGATATAGGTTTAGTTTTATTATTACTTGCTAATGAAAATTAAAAATTCAAACCTAGAACCTTCATATTGAAGACAAACGATTTAGTCGCTAGACCAATTCCTTATTCGCATGTGAGACTCTATTGTAAGAAACTTTGCTTATTGTTTATCGCAATATAGGTGTATGTATCTCTATACAAAGAGTATAACAATACACTACGATAACGAAATCAGGCGTGAACAATATATATGTATTGTACACCAAGACATAAAAATTTGACAAGTCTAATATTCTAACAAAAACTCGATAATTTTCTGATAAATCTCGCATATTAATGAAATTTACATGTTTTAACTAATAAGTATTTTTATTGTCTCTAAAGTTCTCAAATTGGACAAATGCACAACCAAAATAGCAATTCAATTCCTCCCCCATGCAAATACTAATCAAATGATCACCATCCCTCCACTTCTCTCTGTCTTTACCAATTACCATTCACTAACAAATTAATTTCTAACAAATAATAACAACAATAATCTTCTTATGATAATCACCACTTTCTTCATAGAATAATCCACTAATCATGCACTTAATCAATCTCCTTTCCCCTATAAAAATCAACCATCTCTCCCACATCCAAATCAACCAACACCATCATACAACATGGCTACTTTCCTCCTCCTCCTCCCTCTCCTCGCCTCCCTCGCCGCCGCCGCCGGCGGCCAGGGCCACTCTCCCTCTCCGATCAAGGCAGCATACTACCCATCATGGGCGTCGGAAACCTTCCCGCCGGCGGCCATCGACACAACACTTTTCACCCACGTCTACTACGCCTTCCTCCTCCCCAACAACCTCACCTTCCTTATCCAACCCTCCTCCGACACGTCATCCCTCCTCCGCAACTTCACCGCCACCCTCCGCCGCGCCAGCCCGCCGCCGAAGACCCTCCTCTCCTTCGGCGGCGGCGCCGTCGCGGACCCGACGCTCTTCCCGCGGATGGTCTCCCGCCAAGACTACCGGCAGGCCTTCATAAGATCGGCCATCGAAGTGGGCCGGGCCCACGACTTCGACGGGCTGGACCTGGACTGGGAGTTCCCCAAAACGGAAACCGAAATGAAGCACTTGGCCCAGCTGTTGAGAGAGTGGCGACGAGAGATCCGGATAGAGGCCCGGGAGACGGGCCGGGCCCCATTGCTGCTCACGGCCGCGGTGTACTTCAACCCGGAGTTCAATTGGGACCCGGTCTACCGGAAGTATCCGGTTCGGTCCGTGGCCAGGCATCTGGACTGGGCCAGCCCGATGTGCTTCGACTACCGTGGGGCCTGGGACACGTCCGCGACCGGGGCCCACGCTCTGCTGTACGATCCCAATAGTAATATCAGCACGAGCTATGGGCTCCGGTCGTGGATCCAGGCCGGTGTACCTAGCCACAAACTAGTCATGGGGTTGCCATTGTATGGTCGGACGTGGCAATTGAAGGATCCGAATGTGACGTGGATCGGGGCTCCGGCGGTGGCTACGGGCCCTGGGGATTTGGGTGTCTTGAACTTCAAGGAGTTGGAGGATTTCAACGCGAAGAATGGGGCGACGGTGGTGTATGACCATACTACCGTGTCGACTTACTCGTACGTTGGGTCGAGTTGGATTGGTTACGATGATGCGAAGTCCATATCCACTAAGATTGGGTTTGCTAAGGATCATGGGCTTCGTGGGTACTTCTTTTGGGCCTTGAGCTTTGATAGTGAGTGGAAAATCTCGAAACAAGGTGAGTTCGGTTTTCATTTGATTAATCTTCCTAAAACAAGAAAAGTTACTATCTCTTTTGTTTTTTTTTATTTCTTACTCTAGTAAGTAGTAACCTTCTTAGCTTCTCTTTGCTCTTTGTTGCAGCTTCAAATGCTTGGTCGGAATGAGAAAGATGGGAGGTTCAGCTTGGAGAAGCGTCTCATCGCTACTCGTATACGTTAGAAAATTGTTTTTTCGTTGTCTCTTGTCCTCCATTTTGATTTTTGAATGATACATTGAAAACAAATTTCTTGTATAATGAGTTTTCTTGGCAGAAGTAAGTACATCAAGTCTGTAATACTATTTCAGGCATGAGGGATTTGTCAGGTCGCAAACAGTGCATGTAATCTTTATCTTGTATGTTACTTTCTATATGAAGTTTATAGTACTCGTCTTCGGAATATAAAATTAAAATGTTCATTGACTCGAATAGAAATGTCACGTGGATACAACACTATTCTTACTCATATGAAAATTCACACGCCATAATGTTTAGCATGTTATAATTGTTATTTACTGCGCCCAAACAAGCACTTGCATTTCATGGTACAAAAAACCCCAGTAGTGGGAAGAAAATGAACACAATCTAGAGTAAACAAGTACTCAAAGTTCGTAAGACTACGTGGTATTGACTTGTCATATCAGTAATAATAATGTATCTAAGATCAACATATACGATTTTGTTGAGGTCTGGTATCTATTCATTTACCATTTTACCATGCAATCTTGAATCGTTGGGTTCTCCACTTCGTTCTCCGGTAGGGTTTCGCATCCAGATTTGTTGGAATTCTCAGCCATGAAAACTATCCCATGTTGTTGAAGCTACAAACAACCCAATTAGACAATGGACAATGCTATGTTATTTCATAACACTATGATTCAAGAGTAAACCCAAAAAAATTTGAGTAATCTATCTTTTCACCCAAAGGAAAAGGAAAAATACAAAATTTACCTGTGATAGAGAGGCTCGAATTACCATCATCATAGCCCAAAGCCCAAAAGAAATACCCACCAAGCTTCTGTTCCTTAGCAAACCTAACCTTCTCCGACACCGTTTCCACACCGTCGTACCCGATCCAACTACGCCCGGCGAACGAGTAATCCGACACCGTTTTATTATCAAACACCACCGTCGCTCCTTCCCGCGAAATAAATCCCAACACATCCACATAACTCATCGTCCCCTCAGAACCCGGCCCGACTCCCACAGCCGGAGCCCCGACCCCGTTCACCTTCGGATCCTTCAGCCGCCACGTCCGCCCGTACATCGGCATCCCCATCACAATCTTCGCCCGGGCCACCCCGGACCCGATCCACGACCCGATCCCGTACCCGGTGCTGACGTTGCTCTCCTTGTCGAACAGCACCGCCGGCTCCCCGGTCGCCGACGTGTCCCAGCTGCCGCGGTAGTCGAAGCACATCGGGCTGACGAAGTCGAGGCACTGGTTGATGGCGTCGGCCGGGTAGGAAGGACCCGCCGGCGAGAGGAAGAAGCTGGAGGCGAAGTAGACGGCGGCGGAGAGCTGGAGCATTGTCCGGTTGGTCGCGATGGATTCTGTAAGGAGGCTGGCCCGCCATTCTTGGAGGAGGACCCCCAAATTGGACATGTCGCCAGGTGTTTGAGGAAATTCCCAGTCGAGATCGAGGCCGTCGAAGTTGTGGTCCCTGGCGGATTTGATCGTGGAGGCGATGAATTTTGTCCTGGTGGTCGGGTTGCTGGACATGTTGGCGAACGCCGAGGCGTTCGAGCCGCCGCCGCCGATGGAGAGGAAGAGCTTCGGGGACGGTGGGGATTTGGAGTGGAGGGTGGAGGTGAAGTTGGTCATCAGGTTTTGGTCGGATCGGGAGATGGCGAGCTCGTAGGATTGTGGGTCGATTTCGACGAAGGCGTAGAGGATGTGGGTGAAGAGGGAGGTTTGGATTGACGATGGAGGGAAAGATTCGGCCATGGATGATTGCCAGTAGCCTGCTTTGATGCCCGTGTTGTATAGTGGAGCTTGAGGAGGTGAATCTGAGTTGGTTGGAGTTAGCAGGAGGAAGATAGTAGAGATTGTACAGAGGAATGGGAAGAGTGAGTTCCTGGAAGCCATGGCTGAACCTGAGAGCTTGGTTGGTTGAAGTTCAAGGGGATTGAATTTGGATTTATAGCAGGAGAAGATAGTAGAGATTGTCTTTAGTTGCGACCAATGAGCATTGAGTACATCGATTTCAATGGAGAATGATTGCCTGGCCGGCAGGGTTCTTCACTCTAGTGTAGATCGACTTGGACAAGAAAGCAGAGGAAGACAGTCCCCTGTATACTTTCAAGATCGTGTCAAACAAGAATGTCTCATTTCATAGAAAGTCAGACTCTGTTTCTGTTTCATAATAGCCAATTCACAGAGAATCTAGTGATGTAGAATGTGCCGGCTACATATTATGCTCAATGTGTTCATGTAAAATATGCCTATGATACAGATAATCTTTGAATCGGCCGAGTAGATCAGAATTCAGATCATAATATGGATTTGATTCTCAATTTAGTCTTAAGATGTACTTGTTAGAGAATGGTATAAGAGCCACGATTGAACCTCTCCCAACAACTGAGTTATTGAAACCAACTAGTTCTTGACATGGTATCAGAGCTTAGAACTGAAAGGTCATGTGTTCGAATCTCCACGACCCCAATATTAACCGTTGTCTTTCAAGCACATGGTATGGTGGGTCTGTGCAATCTTCAAACTCATAGGTTGGCTTTCGTTTAAGGGGCGTGTTAGAGAATGGTATAAGATTCACGATTGAACCTCTCCCAACAACTCGAGTTATTGGTATCAAATGGTTCTTGACAGTACGATTACGCGAAGAGCCATCAGCCATCCAAGCTGCAAAAGAAACTGCAATGGTTTTTTGGGTTTGATTCCACCCGGAATAAAAGTGACAGAACATTCTTCCACATTCTCAACTAAAAAAATTATCAGAGCTGGTTGTACACGATTGCAGAAAAGAATTGAGGAACAATAGTAGAATGCATAGAAAGAACGCATTTTTCTCTCTCCAGAATCCGACACAAAAATAGCTCGTCCTATTTATCTATGTTAGTTAACAATGCTCCATTTGTCAGACGTGAGGCATTCTGGCAAAGATCTGCGAATAGATCGATGGGGGTGATCGAGACTAAAATGGATGGTTAGCTCACTGTTACCAAAACCTTGGACACTGTCGAAGTAGAAGCTATCTGCCGCCACTTTTCTGCTTCTTCCAGTCTACAAAATTGTCGAGGATCAATGGCCAGGCTTGGTTCTCGTCGTAGTTCGCCATATCTGGAAAGCTAATCTGTAGTTGAAAGAAGATAAATAGGATTAGTACTAAGACCTCCTGGCATAGTTCATTATATTAATTTCTGATGATGGGAGGAAGAGGCACAACATTTAGTCTTACCTCCTTGCAAAACCGAAGGAAACCCATCCACTGATCCTTATTTATCACTTTGTAATCTTTTTGGACCTTCCAGAAAGTTGAAAGCATAGTTATACGATGGACACCTTAAATAGTAAAGCAAATCTCAAGCCTAAGCTAAGAACTAATAGTGCTGATACCTACCTTTAGGTACTCAACTAATGAATCAACCTGGGAAGGGAATTGATATCCGAGGACAATTTTCAGCAACTCACAGGTGCTTTCTATATCTACACCTTTTTGCTTCTCTTCTGAGACACATTAAGGGGAGAGTTGAGTGCAGGTTAGAAACTACGGCAAAGAGAATTATTGCAGCATCACTTTGGCCTTATAATATCGACTTCACCTGTTAGGCAGTACTTGAATGCAAATGAGTAGAAGTCCTCGAAATTTTGTGGTGCCTCCGCCTTTTCACCATTAATAACAATGGTTCAGTAAGTAAATAAGATTTTAGAGGAAACAACATACTAATGAACTGACAATATTTATAGACTATTTCATGAAAAGTTAGACCACCTCTTTCTTCAGTTCTGAGAGTGTCTTCACTAGTTTCAATAGGGTATTAGCCTTGAGAGCTTTCATGCCTGCTTGCCACTCGTCCTGATGGAGCAAAAGGAGGGACAAAAAGACAGGTCGATTAATCTAACTGCGAGTTATGCCAATAGTATAAGACCAAGGTTGTTTCCTTCCAGTATTTACCTTCGTAAAATATCCTTGTCGCTGAGCTTTCATTTTCCTGAAAATGAAGCATGAAGTTCTTAGCTCCACAGTACACATTAAAGTATAACAAACTTATCAAATGACTTCCGAAACAGTAAACTACATACCAAGCAAGCATCAGGATTCTCACATCAGTGTATTCCACTTTCATGTCTGAACACAACGTCTCAATTCCTTCGGGGCTATTTCAAACAACAGAAGACTATAAATGTATCATATCCTCTCCAAAATGCTTGCTTCAGTACACTAAAAGTCATAAAATCCGTACACAGTACAATTTCTATAAGAAATCAAAAGCTCCAGTGCAATTCATTCTAACATCATCAACTTCATATTTCAAGAAGCCAATGCTTATACAGAGAATTTTAAGCAAACCTATTACACTGCAAGCAATGAATCCAAACTGAATCGTGAAAAAAAGGAGAAAACAAGATGAATGAATCACTCACTCAATCTGCCCCAACGAACTGTTTGCATATGTATCGAATAGGTTGTCGATCTGGTCACTCTCCTTCAACCTGGTTTTACTTGTTGCTGATTAAAAAAAAATAAAAAAAACCGTAGCTGGGGGTCAGAGTTCAGAAAGCTGCAGCACATGCAAATGAACTACATTACTTCTAAACACCCATTTTCAACTCGGAAAGCGGTAAATTCCCATTGGCGTACTACTAGACTTCATATACCTACCCTTGAGAAAGCTTCCGTCATTCTGATCTATCTACATTCTAATTTCTCCTACCAGCAAAAAACAATAAATAATGCCTCCAAAAACTTCAAAGATTCAACTCTTGAACAACCCTTATGCCATAGCTAATCCAACCAACCTCCCAGCTGCTCAATTTCACGGAAAATGATGGGCATATCAACTTGAAGAATGACGATTCTTCACAACCCTAGAATTAGAATCGCCATTGAATTAACCAAAACAATTCAACAATCATTGAGTTCAAATCCCATATCACATTCCCTCTTATCCATTCCCAAATGCCAAGGCTTCCCCTGTCCAGATAACTAGTCACTAAAAGATTCCGCTACTGATCTACGGGGGCAAAAGATTCTTTTCAGGTCCAATTTTCCCGGCAACCAAACAAGTGATTTCCAGAGTGAAAAGGGAACAAAAGGGTATAAATTACCTTTGGCGGTGCGACTCCGGGACTGATCAGGTGGCGGAGCTGTGACGGAGGAGGAGCTTGCCGGGGCCGCTTTCCGCTTCGACGCGCGAGGCATTCCGGTTCGTCGGATCCGCTGACCACAAAGTAAAGTCAAAATCTCTAAACCCCGCCCCAGTGGAAAATCAAAAAGAGAGAGAGAAAAAAAATCGAATCTTTAATCTTTCTAAATACTTTTTTCCCGGTAATTTCAGAGATGGGAGAAAGGAAGAACACCGAAAGAGAGAGTAAGCTCTGTGGAGTGGAAGAAGGGATCCTTTTTATAGGACGAAAGGAAAGGGAGCCAAGCCAGCTATGGATTTCCCCATGGGCCCACAACGCGGCTCGTAATAGCAGGTGCGGGCCTACCTGCCTCGCCGAGCCCAAATTTAGGCCCACAAATTATTTCAGCCCAACCCGAGCATCTGCGCGGGGGACAGCTGTGCATAAAGACTTCGTCTCTGCATTTTCTAGGGTTTTTCAAACCGCTGAGGAATTTTTTTGGGGGCGTTTCGTCAACTTCTCCGGAGTACGAGCCTCTCTTCCCGGCCGCGAAAATGGTGAGTTCTCAAGCTCTGTTTCTCGGTTTAAACTTCAACGGAGTTCCTTGTTTTCTTGTGGATTTCGCATGGTGATGGCGGGATTTTCCGATGTTTGCAGCCGTCGCACAAGACGTTCATGATCAAGAAGAAGCTCGGGAAGAAGATGAGGCAGAACCGGCCGATTCCTGGCTGGATCAGGATGAGGACAGGAAACACGATCAGGTGACTCTCTTTGTGCTCGCTTCCCGTTTTCGATTTCTCACTTTTGTTCCGAGTTCTTTGCTGATTTCGCTGTTGTGGTTTTTTGCAGGTACAATGCGAAGCGCAGGCACTGGCGCCGCACCAAGCTAGGGTTCTAAGCCGGGGAGATGGAACAATGGTGGATTACAGAATGAGTTAACTCCGGAAGCTCTCTATCAGTTAGTTCTAACTCTCTGCGGTAGTTAAATTTTGGTAGTATGTGAGGTGTTTGAAGTTGTGAACATGTAGAGAGGAATTTTGGATGAGATTACAGTTTACAGGTTGATATGTTCAGCTTGGTACTAGTGATTGAGTTGATGGATTTCTGACTCGTTTCTGAAGAGTAATGCAAGGTCGTGATGTTGATTAATTGGCTTTCATTTCGTCGTTGATTTCGCTAGTATTGTTGTGCTCCTGCTCTTTTTTTTTTTGCATTGTTTTTCCTTGGATTTCTGCGCTCTCCACATTGCATTTCTACGTGGAAGTAGGATTGGTTTTCGCTGTGATGTCTGCTGCGATGGATGTGCTGTTTGAGTAGAGTTAATGTAGGCAGATTCGACAGATTCGACAATGAAGTTGTCGAATGCTCTGCATTCTGGTTAAGGAATGATGCTCGATTGATGTCGGAGTAATGGCTAGCTCATGGCTAGTTGATCAACGAGAATTGAGTTTATGCTTGTGTTTTGCTGCTGAGGTTATGTACAGCGAGTGTGTTCAAATATCGAACGAGTTTCTGATCCTTGAACAAGTTGTAGGGAACATGATGGTCTTTGCTGTGCTTCTTTGTTAGCAGTTGAGTGTGTATGTATCTTGGAAAAGGTCCAAGTTAGCTTTGCTTGGGTATCAAGCTAGTTGGTCACAACTCACAAGAAGTTATAAATATCATCCATTCGGTGAAAACAGTTGCACTTTAAATCAATATCACAATACATTGAAGGTTTACATATTTATAGTCGTATAAAAAGAATGTATAAATCACGTTATCAAATACATTTTTTTTTTCTTCTTAATATCTTTCAATTCATATCCTAAATCAAGCATGGTAATATTGTTTGAGAGATGACACGATTATGTTTGTAACTTAAATCGGTGTAGACGTGACATTTGTCAATTGTGAATTTTTTTTATTAACACGACGAAAATTGATAAAAAAAACCTCAACCACGATACAAAATAAGTTTAATGATAGCATAAAACACAACCACCAAAATTTAAAAGTCAAACAAAATGAATAGTCTTGTATTCTTTTGCCCCTCAACCGGTCCTCTAATACTAACTAACTTCATCAGTTCACCGATAATTTTGGGGAGCCACAAAAAATGATTATTGCAGACTTAATCTCACACCTTTCGTTTTGTGAAACCCATATTTTTTCTTACCTTTAAATATGTCAATAGTTTCACCCAAATGTATTGGCTTATCTCCTTCAAAATAAACCCAATAATTTGATTAGTATCATCCTCCTCCAACCCTTCTCTGTTCCTCTCATCCCATTCATGGGAGGAACACATCTTGATTTAACATTGTAAGTTTTTGAGAAGCCCGGCCCCCGCCTTTTCCTTCTGGAAAAGCAATCGCAGGGCTCTCAAGAACTAATAAAAAATATTTAGAAAAGTTCAAAGAGAAGAGAATATAGAAAAGAAAAGGATTCTCTTGTAGTTTTTCTCCATTTTCTCATTCTTTAGGCCGTGTGATTCGAACAACATGGCCGACGTGTCTCTAGAAGAGATCAAGAATGAGAAGGTGGACCTTGAGAAAATACCCGTGGATGAAGTGTTCGAGCAGTTGAAATGTACGAGGAAAGGGTTGACGAGCGAGGAGGGCGAGAAGAGGCTCCAGATCTTCGGGCCCAACAAGCTCGAGGAGAAGCAAGAGAACAAGTTCCTCAAGTTTTTGGGGTTCATGTGGAACCCTCTCTCATGGGTCATGGAGTCTGCAGCTATCATGGCCATCGTATTAGCCAATGGAGGAGGCAAGCCCCCAGATTGGCAGGATTTCGTCGGTATCGTCGTCCTGTTGATCATCAATTCCACCATTAGCTTCATCGAAGAAAACAATGCTGGCAATGCTGCTGCTGCTTTGATGGCCAATCTCGCCCCCCAAGCTAAGGTATGGTGTTACTCCTTACACATGTTTGAAACTGTTTTGTCAATAACCAGTTAACGGTTGCGAACCTTTCGTGTTTGAAGGCACTGAGGGATGGGAAATGGCAAGAGGTGGAAGCAGCAGTGTTGGTTCCAGGAGATGTGATCAGCATCAAACTGGGCGATATCGTCCCAGCTGATGCGCGTCTCTTGGAAGGAGATCCTCTGAAGATTGATCAAGCTGCACTGACCGGAGAATCTCTTCCTGTGACGAGGAGTCCCGGTGATGAAGTCTTCTCCGGCTCAACTTGCAAGCAAGGTGAGATTGATGCCATCGTGATCGCCACTGGTGTGCATACCTTCTTTGGCAAGGCTGCTCATCTGGTTGATAGCACCAACAATGTTGGCCACTTCCAACAGGTAATCATGGTTATAATTCAAACTACACATAATCCTTCTGTACTCTGCAACCCTTCAAGCACCTTGTCTTCCATCGTAGTAAAGCTTACTGTAATCTTGTCTGTGGCTTAGGTGTTGACATCGATCGGTAACTTCTGTATCTGCTCGATTGCGGTGGGTGTGATCATCGAGATTATCGGGATGTATTTCATTCAACACAGGCAGTACAGAGCAGGAATTGACAACCTGTTGGTGCTTCTCATTGGAGGGATCCCGATCGCCATGCCCACAGTTTTGTCCGTGACAATGGCTATCGGGTCTCACCGGCTCTCAGAGCAAGGCGCCATCACTAAGCGAATGACTGCCATTGAAGAAATGGCTGGCATGGACATACTCTGCAGTGACAAAACTGGGACACTCACCCTTAACAAGCTTACAGTCGACAAATCCCTCATTGAGGTGTTCCCAACGAGAATGGATGCCAACCACCTAATCTTACTTGCTGCCAGAGCTTCCAGAGTCGAAAACCAGGACGCCATTGATGCCTCGATTGTTAATATGTTGAGCAATCCCAAAGAAGTAGCTAATCTGCATTCCCTTTCACTTTTTCTTCATGTGGAAATCAAAAGAATTTCAGCTGACTCATGAATGCTTTCTTGGAATGTACGTTTTCTTTCGCAGGCAAGGGCAGGGATCAATGAAGTCCATTTCTTGCCATTCAACCCTGTTGAAAAGCGGACTGCAATCACTTACTACGACAGCGATGGCGAATGGCACAGGGCAAGTAAAGGCGCACCTGAGCAAATCATTGAACTCTGTGATCTCAAAGGGGAAGTCAACAAGAAGGCTCACAAGATCATTGCCGACTTCGCCGATCGCGGCCTTCGTTCTTTGGCTGTTGCTTATCAAACTATTCCAGAGAAGAATAAGGAAAGCGCAGGATCAGAATGGGAATTCGTGGGGCTGCTGCCACTCTTTGATCCTCCAAGGCATGATAGTGCAGAAACAATCCGACGAGCGCTTGAACTTGGAGTTAGTGTCAAGATGATTACCGGCGACCAGCTTGCTATTGGGAAAGAGACCGGCCGACGCCTTGGCATGGGCACAAATATGTATCCTTCATCTGCCCTCCTCAGCGACAACAATGGATCCTCCATGAACATCGACGAGCTCATCGAGAAGGCTGATGGGTTTGCCGGAGTCTTCCCTGGTAAAATACCAAATCAAAACAACTCAATCTTTGCATTTCCTCTTCCGCCCATTATAGCTCGGCATTTGCTTAAAGATTCATCCTTTGCCATTTTCAGAGCACAAGTACGAGATCGTGAGGAGGCTTCAAGACAGACAACACATCGTCGGTATGACCGGAGACGGAGTTAACGATGCTCCAGCACTAAAGAAGGCCGACATAGGAATCGCCGTTGATGATGCTACCGACGCTGCTCGCAGTGCCTCGGACATCGTCTTGACGCAGCCAGGGCTGAGTGTCATCGTTAGTGCTGTCCTTACAAGCAGGGCCATCTTCCAGAGGATGAAGAACTACACCATCTATGCAGTTTCCATCACAATCCGTATCGTGTTTGGATTTCTCCTGGTTGCCTTGATCTGGAAGTTCGACTTCTCTCCTTTCATGGTTCTGATCATCGCCATCCTAAACGATGGCACGATTATGACCATCTCGACGGACAGGGTGAAGCCTTCCCCGGTGCCCGATTCATGGAAGCTCAATGAGATCTTCGCCACTGGGATTGTTCTTGGGTCTTATATGGCCATTATGACAGTCTTCTTCTTCTGGCTTGCTGAGGACACCGATTTCTTCACGGTAAGTTTAGATCAATGTGATACCACTTTCAGGAAACGAAAACCAAAGAACGAAAACAGAGACTGAAGTTCGCATTTTTGTTGCAGAACACATTTGGAGTGAAATCAATTAGAGGAAGTCATGAAGAGCTTACAGCAGCACTTTACCTGCAAGTCAGCATTATCAGCCAGGCTCTCATCTTCGTCACCAGAACACGAGGCTGGTCCTTCTCTTACTCCGAACGCCCCGGGATTTGGCTCGTCGTCGCCTTCCTGATTGCCCAATTGGTAAGCAGTATGCAAATTTTCTGACTTTTCCTCATCGTCGAGGCAAAACATCAAACACCTTACCTGCGCTAATCCGGCTGTACTTTCTTTCTCTGAAGGTGGCCACCATAATTGCCGTCTACGCGAAATGGGACTTCGCCGGAATCGCCGGAATCGGATGGAGATGGGGCGGAGTCATCTGGCTGTTCACCATCGTCACTTACATTCCTCTCGACATCTTGAAGTTCCTCATCCGCTTCGCGTTGACAGGGGAGGCCTGGGAAAATTATCTCGAGAACAAGGTTCGCAATCCGAACAAGAAACCAAAAGAAAGACTCGAATTTTGAACCTCTCCCTAATCATGGATTCCGTTTCAATTTCTTTCTTCTTGCAGACGGCTTTCACGACGAAGAAGGACTTCGGCAAGGGCGAGAGGGAAGCTCAATGGGCGGAAGCACAGAGAACACTCCACGGGCTTAAGAAAACAGAGTCTCCGACCGCCGCTGCCGCCGCCGATATGCACCGGTACAGCAATGCGGTGTAGGTGAAGATGGCGGGAGATTTAAAGTGGAGGAGGAGAAGGAGGGAAAAACAAAATTTGTGGGGATTTTGGATTGTTTAGTGAAAAATGGAAAAAAAGAGGTTAAATTTGAAGAGAGATCATTCCAAGCTATATTTAAAATATTATTAATTTTTCTTATTTTTGCTTTTGAGATATTGAAAGTAAAATTAATATTTGGTTTAGTTCTGATTTTGAAGAGTTTTCAATTTTCATTCATGTTAGGTCATGGATGGTTGGGTAGGGTCTTGCAGCTCATGGGAGGCTGAGAATGTAGATGTGGAAATTGGAGAATTTAATAACAAAAAAAGGACTAATTACAAAATTGACAATATCATATGTCCTCACTTTCAATGTTTTGATTTTCTCCCAATATCTTGTTGGCAAAAATAATGTAAGCAATGAAAATTTATGTGAATTGAGTTATTGGATATTTGGATTGGACTATAACCTGTTTGATTTGTTTTTTATTTGATTCGAGTTTGATTTTTTAGATTGTTTGTATTTTAAAAAATAGTGAGAAAATATTGTCTTAATTAAAATAGGATCGAACCATGTCAAACCAAAACATTATTGTACAATGATTGGCCCTTTCGTTCTTCAAAAAATATAAATTAGGTAGTAATTCTCCTCGCCTAACGTATAAAAAAATTAAATTTTTATTCAATATTTAATTTTTGACCGAGCCTCCTCACATTTTCCTTTTAAAAAAAAATCATGATAAACACGGGTAATTATCATAAATGGTCACAAAACTATTCACTTTGTACAAAACGATCACAAACCTTTAATTTTACACGTTTCAGTAACATATGTTTGGACTAATAACAAAATGGTAATTCTGTCCATCTCCATCCAAACTTCTGTTAATTTTTTCCAGTCAACTGTCCAGTCAGTATCCATTTCATCAAAATAATTAATAAAAAATAAAATAAAACCAATAAATAAAAATCAATTAAACCCTAACCAACCCACCACTTCAATCCAATCTAGAGGCAAATCGACAACAGAGACAAAACCTTCCTCGACAATTTCTGCACCGACCGCAGCACTGCATTATTTCCATTCCCAGTCTTGACAAACTCCTTCTTCCCACTGTCGCCGTTACTTTCCTCTTCCGACAACGGCGTAGCGGAATTCCATAGATGAATATTTTTAAAGGCGTTCTACTTCTTAATTTCTCCGGAGGATTTTAGCTTGCAGTTTATTGAGGTTAGACCAACTCCAATGCAAGCCCTCAAATTTGGGGATCTTCATCTCCAAATTTGGGGTTCATCTCCATTTTCCCTTCTTTTGCTCCAATGCTACATCCTCTATATTTGGAGATCTCCATTTTTTAAGTTTTCAATTTACTTAAAAATGTACTTATCGAAGCCTTAATATAATTTGTTCATGTTAATTTTTATATAGTTTGTCATTATTTTTAAATACAAATTTTCTGGTAGAAATTTTTTTAATTTTGAGACCAAATTTTTGTTGACAAAAAATGATTGACCTAATTTGGATTTACAAACAACACTTGAAATTTATTGATCTAATTAAACTCCTAACTAATCCCCTAATTAAACCCCAATTAACCCTTAAAATCTTAAAAAGAAAAAGAAACGCCACGTGGCGGGCTTTGGGGAGTCTCTATATTTGGGGGAACCCCCATTTCCACCTCCAAATTTGGGGATCCTTTTGGAGATCTCCCCCAAATATAGAGACTCTTCCATTTATAGAGGCTCCATTGGAGCCAACTTTCCCCCAAATATAGAGGATCCCCCATTTATAGAGGCTCCTTTGGAGTTAGCCTTAGGGGAGGAGGGAGTGGGGTTCGACAGCGGTTGCGGGAGGTGTAGAGTTTTTCATGATTGAATTCAAGGGGGAGTTGACGAGGTTAGGAGAGGGCTTGAGGAAATGGAGTCTGGAGGAAGGAATGGGTTGGAATGGATTGAAGTGGTGGGTAAGTTTGGGTTTAATTGATTTTTATTTATTGGTATAATTTTATTTTTTATTAATTATTTTGATGATGTGGATGCTGACTGGACAAGTGACAGTACCAAACTAAACAGAATTTTGGATGGAGATGGACGGAATTACCGTTTTGTTATTCGTCCAAACATATGTTACTGAAACGTGCAAAATTAAAAGTTTGTGATCGTTTTGTACAAAGTGAATAGTTTTATGACCATTTATGATAATTACCCTGATAAACACTTATCTAGTTATTTTATTTTGTTGGTAACAATTTACATATTCAAGTTCTTCTCAGCATGATACTGTTTTGACAATAATTATTATATTGTATTGTCTATGAGATGATTAAGACTTTTTACTTCCATCATACTCAATAGAATACACAAATATTATGAAAAAAATATACCACTCAATCTTCATTGGTTAAATGGATAATTCCTTATAAGATTGTACGATTTTGATGATATACACTCATACAATATTAGTTAGTTATCTCATTCTAACAATTACACTGGTATGGTTTGAACCACGATTCTATACATATTTACTAACTTGTTCTGCAAGATTTTATTTTTTTACAATGTCCTGCAAGATTTTTTAATTATATAGGAACCATGGTTTTGACTTTTGAGTTAACTTGAACCAAAGCCAAGACAATATGGATTCAAGATTATAACTAACTTAATTAAGTTGTACAGTTGGCTAAAATAAAATTAAGCTCTACATTTATCTTCCCGCCAGAATTAATTTTGCCCGCCACCAAAATCCAATTTCGCGCATTTTCCTTCTCCTCACGCCGCCTTTCATTTATTTCTCCCACACCGCTTCAGTTCACCGCCCACTCTTAGTACTGTTTCTCTGCCGCCGAGCCTCTCAAAATCAATGGCTTCGAAAGCTAAAATGACGGAGTACGAGCGCAAGCGGCTAGAAAACATCCGCCGCAACGGCGAGATGATGGCCGCTCTCAAAATCCAGTCCAAAGCTTCTCTGCTCTCCCAATCCGCCAAACGCCAGAGGTAGGGTTTTTTGTTTTTTTCGTGTCGCCTTTTCGTTTTGATTCCTATCGTTCTTTTCAATTCGGTCTTAAATCCGACGAATTCCAGAGTCGGAGCTGTGCAATCGAAGTCGTACAAACTGAGTCCGGAGAAGAAATTGAAACCCGACTCGCCTGTAGTCATCCGGCGCTCCCTCAGAAGCCGAGGGCTGCCGCCGGAGGGCGTAGACGGCGTCCTCTCCGACGATCCTCCCTGCGAAACCCTTAAAATTTCCAGTAAGGAGAAGGTCTCGCCTCGTGTATTAGGTCCCCTGAGCATGGACGACGCCCAGGACGGCGCTGGATCTAACGGGACACTGATTTCCACTCTGTTATCCATCGATACAAAACCCCATATGAGTCCTCCGGTCAAGGAGGAACACGCCGGAGGAGATGTGGTGAAGAAGGAGAGTATCGAACCGAGGGATTCGTTCGATTCGGAGAGAGTCAAAACTGAAGGTTTTGATGAGGGAATTAAGGAAGAGAAGAAGGGAGCTGTGAGCCTGCTTGATTTGGGTTCGATGAGATTGGAAACTGATAACATTGCAAGGGTAGTTCCAGGGAGGATAATGAGTGTAGAGTTTCTACCTTGTACGGATTTGAGGATGGTTGTAGTGGGAAACAAACTGGGCAATGTTGGGTTCTGGAATATGGACAGCAAGGGAGGTGATGATCATCACAACGGGATACACTTGTATAGACCTCATACCGGGCCGATTTCTGGGATTGTGTTTCAAGAGTCCTCCTTCTCTAAGGTAAATATCAAGAATTCATATCGGCGACCCATCATCGGAAGTGCTCTTAAATGGCTTGATTCTGTTTTTTTAGTTCAGCAATGTTTGATTCTGTGTGTTCGGGGATATACTTGTGCAGATCTTTTCGAGTTGCTACGATGGCTACATTCGGATGATGGATGCCGAGAAGGAAGTGTTTAATCTCGTGCATCACACTGATGAGGCTATATTTTGTCTGTCTAAGCCACCAAATGAGGACAAGGGCTTGTATTTTGGTGAAGGTCGGGGCGGGTTAACTGTATGGGATGAGAAGATGGGGAAAGCTTCATTCCAGTGGTTTCCTCATGAGGACAGGATCAACACCATTCATTTCAATCCAATGAACCCTAACATCATGGCCACCGGTTCGACCGATGGGACTGGGAGGATTTGGGATTTGAGAAATGTCGGTTCGAGTCAGCCCAAATGTTTGAAGATGGTCAGCCACAACAGGGCTGTTCATTCTGCTTACTTCTCACCCTCTGGCTGCTCTCTTGCAACTTCAAGGTATTTTGTACGCACCTCTCTGAATTCTCACCATAAGTTTGTAGCTTCGATCACTATCTCACTGCTGAACTCCATCGACGAATTCACCTCCATAGATATCTAAGTAATGGGTACTGACTTACTGGCTTTGCTCCCTCATGGCTTGTCTTTATTTTCTTCTTGTTTGTAGTTTGGATGATTACGTGGGGATACATGACGTGAGCAATTTTGATGATGATTCAGATTCTGTGACTATGATACCCCATTATAACCAGACTGGCAGATGGCTCTCTACATTCAGGTACAATTTTTGATTTGCCCGGAGAAGAAAGTCTGTAGCTTTTACTCTCTTCTGAGTCCTGAAAATCTCTTTGCTCTCTTTGTTGTTGTGACGAACCAGAGCGTCATGGGGCTGGGATGACTCCTACGTTTTCATAGGCAACATGAAAAGAGGAATCGATGTGATCTCCCCTGGTGAGAAAAGTGTAGTTATGACCTTGGAAAGCCCTGACATGACGGCAATCCCTTGCAGATTCGATGCTCATCCTTTTCAGGTTGGAATGCTTGCCGGAGCGACCAGCGGCGGTCAGGTTTATGTATGGACCTCTAGCTAGTCAAAGCTGGCAACTTTATTTCCTTATTTTTCGTTTGTATGAAGAGCTTGTGTTCTTCATGGTTGTTTGATGTTAATTCGGAAGAGTAGATTTTTCTTGTATAATGGTTAGAGATTGTTAGAAGTCAATAGCTGGTTTTGTTTACCATTAGGATCTTGCAGCTGTTGACTTGCTTGTTTCTGGGAAGATTATTTCTATCCAGCTTGATCTCAATTATCTTGTGAATCAATTTCAAGAATGTGAATTAATTTTTACTTATGTGATGCGTTTCTCGAGGTTTTGCAATGGTGTCTATCGTATCGGTTATTTTCGTTGAATGTTTATGGTGATGCTCAAGTGGTAATTCGTCGAGTGCGGTGGAAATTGGGTATGTGTGTGTGGTGCTTCTCTTACTTTGTATAGGTTGAACAAGACTATTTATGTAATTGAAAATACTCGAGTTGATAATCGACTTACCGCTTAATTATCGTAATTGTGTTATTTTTTCTTTAATATCAATCCATTATCTTGTTTGGGATATCGACTGTAGAAAAATGCTATATTTCTAAAGAAATTGAGCAAACTAATATTTCTAGCTTTACAGTTATCTTCCCGCCATAATTCTGCCGCCGCTATAGTTCCATTCACGCATCTTCCTTTCCTCACTCAGCTCTATTTATTATCTCCCACGCCGCTTCATCTTACTAGCCACTCTCTTTGTTTCCCCTGCCGCCGAGCTCTCTCTCAATCCTTCGAAACCTTGCAAAGCAATGGCGCCGGCGCCGAAGGATAAACTGACGGAGTACGAGCGCAAGCGGCTCGAGAACATCCGTCGGAACGATGAAATGGTTGCTGCCCTGAAAATCCCGTTCAAAGCTTCTCAGCTCACCGGTACTGCCAAGCGCCAGAGGTAGGGTTTCTATCTTTTCTTTCCTATTCCTTTTTTTCCTGTTCTGTTTATTTTCGATTATCGACTCCGTCATCTGAATTCCGATCGTTTCCAGAGTCGGCGTCGAGGAATCGAAGTCGTACAAACCGACTGCAGAGAAGAAATCCGAACCTGCGGTCGTCAACCGGCGCTCGCTTCGGACACGAGGGATGCCGCCGGAGGGCGTGGGAGGCGTCCCCGTTCTCGAGAAGGTCTCCCCTCGCGTAGAAGGACCCATGAGCATGGCCGCCGCCCATGACGGCGCTGGGTGTAATGGAACGCTGGTTGCCACTCTGTTGTCGATGAATAAAAATCCCCAAGTTGTTTCGCCGCCGGTGAAGGCGGAATCTGCCGGGGGAGAGGTGATTAAGAAGGAGGAAGCAGAATCTAGGGTTTCGTTCGATTGGGATACAGTCAAAACCGAGGGCTGTGGCGTGGGAATCAAGGAAGTGAAGAAGGACGTCGAGAGCCTGCTCGATTTGGGATCGATGAAACTAGAGACTGATAACATTGCGAAGGTAGTCACAGGGAATGTAATGAATGTGAAGTTCCTGCCTTGCAGCGATTTGAGGATGGTTGTAGTGGGAAGCAAGTCGGGACAGGTTGGATTCTGGAATATGGATTCCAAGGGAGATGATGATGATCATCAGAATGGAGTAGTACACTTGTACAGACCGCATACTGGGCCAATCGGGGCGATTCTGTTTCAGGAATCCTGCTTCTCCAAGGTAAAAATATGAACGATCCATTTCGAGGATCCACCAATCCGAATCACCTCTTAAATGGCTTTGATTCATTTTCTGTTCATATTCTGCAGATCATTACAAGCTGTTATGATGGCTACATTAGAATGATGGATGCCGAGAAGGAAGTGTTTGAGCTTGTGCACCACGGGGATGATGGTATATTTTGTCTCTCGAGGCGACCAAACGATGACAAGAGCTTGTATTTTGGTGAAGGACTAGGAGGGTTGACTGTGTTTGATGATAAGATGAGGAAAGTTTCATCACAGTGGTTTCCTCATGAGGACAGGATCAATACCATCCATTTTAATCCAAGGAACCCTAACATTATGGCTACTGCTTCGAAAGACAAGACTGCTCGGATCTGGGATTTGAGATGTGTCGGTTCTGGCCAACCCAGATGTTTGAAGATGGTCAGTCACAATAGGGCTGTGAATTCAGCTTACTTCTCACCTTCTGGCTGTTCCCTTGCAACTACAAGGTAAGTTTGTTTTACACCACTCTGAATTCACCATAAGCTTGTCGTTTCATTCATTATTTTCACTGCTGAACTTCCATTCATTAATTTACTGTTTTGTTGGTTGATCTACACTAACCAGTTCAGTGGACCTTTATGCAATTGACCTTTGTAGCTACTGGTTGTGTTCACTCATGGCTTCTATCTACTCTATCATGTTGTTGTTTTAGTCTTGATGACCACGTGGGAATTCACAGTGGGATAGATCTCGAGGATAACTGTATGATACCCCATGATAATCAGACTGGCAGATGGATCTCTAAATTCAGGTACTTTTGATTGCCCAGAAAAGGTACTTGTGTAGCTTCTCCTCTCTTCTGAGTCCTGAATATCTCTTTCACTCTTTGTTGTGGTGAACCAGAGCAATATGGGGATGGGGTGACGCTTACCTTTTCATTGGTAACAAGAAGAAAGGAGTTGATGTGATCTCTCCCGCTGAAAACAGAGTCGTTACGACCTTGAAAAGCTCAGAAATGATAGCAATTCCGTGCAGATTTGATGCCCATCCTCACCGGGTTGGAATGCTCGCTGGTGGCACCGGCGGTGGGCAGGTTTATGTATGGACCTCTAGCTAGGAGAAGCTGGCAACTGCCTTTTCAAGTTTGTAGGAATAACATGTTTTCTTCGTATGGTTGGTTAATGCAATTCAGATGAGTAGGTTATGGTTAGATATACTTGTGAGTTTTCAGGTACTTTTGATTTAGTTCAGCTGGTTTTGTTTACAAGTCGGAAATGTTCAGCCCTTGACTTGCCTGTTTGTTGAAAGATTATGTACATGATCAATTTGATCTCAGTGATCTTCAATGACTACATATAATCAAGTTCGAATCATCTTTTGATGTTCTTCCAAGCGATAAGCTCAGAGGGGATTATTTGTTCATCACAAGAAAGCACAGCTTGAGCCATCAATTTACCGAGCCAAGCATGGTACAGTAAACCTCTTGAACCAAGTCCCCCAAACAACCAGTATCTGGACCTACAATTCTGACCTACAAGACTGTTCACACAACCCAAAAGCGGAAGGGATCCATGCGGAGTTAATGGTGGCATAGCCCTCAGACCCGCCTTAGCTCCACCCAAACTCCAGTTCTTGATTCCTGGATAAAAGACGGATGCTTTCGGCAGAAGCTCTTCAAGAGCCTTTGAAGCTTCATCTGCTGAGACGTGTGCGGAAGAATTCGTTGATTTCCATTCCCATGTTGAACCCATGTATAAACTGCGAGTTCCTTGGATGGCAAGCCACGCATCCGATAATATAGATGGTGCATGTTCCGGGTAGTCTTCCCTGAGAAAAGTGGTTACATAGAAGGCATTTATGTGAAATTCTGGGTCACTAGCATTAACGGTCATTACGATTTGAGATGATGTGAGATGTTTTACCCCATATCGAGGGGCAATTGCATGTGGGCAACTACTCCTCTGCATGTCCTCAAAGGAAGTCTCCCTGATAGCTCAGGCAACATATCTACTTTTGCACCAAGGCATATTATGACCGCATCATATTCTCCTAAAGGGACGTCTAGGTTAAAATCCAACAATGGAAGAAGAACAAGGGAAGAGGGATATATATTTGGTATATACTTCCCTTACCTTCTAAATCAAGGAGTTTATGAATGGACTTCTTGTGCAAATACAACTCCTGTCCAACATCATTTTCTTTCATTATATTTTGGCAAGCTAAGAACAGTGCCTGCAGAATGGTAAAGAAACAGTCACATACTACAAACTCCAGAAATGGAAAAATGATCCAGTTCATATGGGATTGATTATCTTTACCTGAAGATAGGGGCGAGGGTAAACATTAACAGCAGCAGGCATATAAAAGGCGACGTCCAGAGGTGCACATATATTCGGTACAAGTGTTTGAGCATAGTCTTCACCAATTGTCTCGATTCTGCAATTCGGATGGCAATTCTGAGCATTCTAGTTGCAGAAAAGACATGAAAAAGATATCACTCCAAAGTCGCGCACTTAATCCATTCAAGATTTGGAATCGAAGATCACCAAAGGAATTACCTCAGTCATTATTTCCGAGTTCTTCATGTTCACTGCCGGCCTCAAGATCCCCCTGATCAGAGGGAGAGTAAGGGCAAGCAAAATAAGCCACGAGGTAACCTCAATAAGGCGATTTAATGGCAATACTAGAAGAAAGAATTCACAGTCTACATTCGGTCCCCGAATTTAGAAGATTTGATCAATAAGTTTTGAGTCCTCCATTCACTAATCAGGAAAGCAAAAGGCCTCCCGGGCTTCAGTTAAGCAATTCTTATCACGACAGCTCAACCAAAGCGTTTCACATGAAAATGGTACAGCAAAACCATGAGAACCAAGGCAAGAATAACGAATTCATAAACAAACCTCCTTCTCACAATGAGACCATCAGAAGTTTCATTCGAGTCCTTGGAATGACGAGCTGCCATCTCTGCAACGTTCAGAAGCCGCAAGGTCTCTTTCCAACACTCAGCACCCCGCCAAAGAAGCTTGCCTACAAGAAAACAAACCCCCCACGGAACTTAAAATTCTACCAGCATCTAAAGCAAATGAACCGTGTGTAAAGCTCTAGTGCCAAAAACAAACAAACCTTTGGGAGAGTAAGGGTGAAGGAGACCTCCAGAAACTCCAGAAGCACCTCCACCGATTCCCGCTTCATCGAACAAATCAACTCGAAGCCGCAGCTCTCTGGGGCTGTTCTGTTCGACACAGGGCCGGGAAATTATCAGAAATGAAAGGCGGAAAATAAATTGAAAGACCAAGACACCATGTAAATCAGTTGTTCAGCTTTGAAATTTTTTACCTTCAGCAAGTGCCAAGCCACCGAGAGACCGGCGAAACCGCAGCCGAGAACCGCGCATCTGAGACATAGTAGTTCAGAATATCGCCGACGATGAGCGAAGAGAGCAACAAGAGCAAGCAAGTGAATTGAGTCAAGGGAGGTGAAAAGTACCTGAAGGGACTCGCAGGAGAAGAGGGAATTGGAGAGGGGATGAGTTGTGCCATTGTAGGGAACAACCAAGCCGCTGAACGGCGGCCGGCGAATCTTTGTTGCCGACGGCCGGAGGCGCGGTAAAACCCAATCCCTCGACTGCCGCCGTAAAGATAACGAATTAAACAGATCGGATGTCTGGGTTCGGTCTAAAGAGACAACAAAAGCCCATTTACCAAGGAAAGCCCATTAGTGTGGTTTTTAGGCCCATCAAAACACAACAAAAAGGAGGGAAGGTTTGGCTTTCGAATCCCCTTAGAGAAACTTAACTTCTATGTGTAAGAAAGACACCAAACTACCAAAGACATTCAACATACATAACAGAGCTTCATAAGATTGGACATAGGAGCAAAGAGCAAGGAAGGTTACAGAGAGAATTTCAGGTTCATTCTATACAGATGTTACTGTTAGAGGTTGCACCAAGTAGAGATAAGAGAATTCCTACCCGACCTACCATTCACAGCCCTTGGCCAACAAGATGTACTGCGGCGCACAGGTTACAGTAGTCACAAAACACTATCTGAAAAACGCAAAGGTACTAACATATGAATCGACATGTTTTTATCAATGATGGATATGCCGATTTTAATGTGTTACCATAAGCCAATTCCTCAGTAGTTTCAGTATATCATCCCGACAGTCCTGACCTTTTACGGAATCATCGCTCTTCTGTGTCCTGAAAATGGAGACCTGTTGAAAAAGGCATGTTCGTTATGTAGTGAAGAGCGACCCAAACAGGAGACAGGCAAGCAGGCAATGAGAATCATAGACTAGGAGTGAATTAGTAGAGTTGACAGCAATCCGGAACCATTCAAAGAAGGTCCAGAACCCAAACAACACATGCATATTCCAAGCATCAAAACACATATAACCCAATCATACGGAACCACCTGATTCATACAAACACAACCCTCAAAACAGAATGCTTCTTCTGAAGCACACCTAAAAAGAACGAAGTTGCAGATCATGAGACAGAAAAAGGAAAAGATTACTACTTTCAAATTTTGATTTTCGCATTAAAGTATATAGTTATCAACTTTACTTACTAAGCAATCCTCATGCACGGATATATCAGTGCAATATACTATATTAGTAGCCTAAAAATGGGAAAAAGACACCTAATATCTTCATTGAATCAGGATAGCAATCTCCATCTTGAGGTCATCCCGTCTTTTTAATGTTGTCTTGGACGAGAAAGACACAACGTTCCGACTGTACTTTCTGTAAAACATAAACAGCCACCACACATCACATCATCACCTAGCAACAAGCACAATAATTAGACAAATGAAGGTGGAGTTTGGAAGGGCTTCAGTAGAACCCAGTCGAATCCATGGTGGCTGAGTATTTTCCAAAACTCCTAATTTGTGCAAGGCCTTGGATTGCGGTCTGCACCGCTTGCGCCAAAAGAATATAAACACAAACTTATGGCTCTGTGGAAATAAGGACCATCAATTGCAAGTGACTAAAACCATACCAAATTGCCCATAAAAAAAAAAAAAAACCATACCAAATCCTTTAAGTACTTCTCTAGCACTACTTAAGGACTTCACATCAAGGAGGAATTTCAACATGCTCAACCAACTGATGCCTCTACCTGATTTCACAGCCATATGGCTCCTTGTTCTCTTACTTCTGCCCCCTTGTAGTTCTCATCATCAGGAATAAAATCAACTTATCAGTAAGAAAGAACAGCAGCCTGCAGCAGATTCCACCATCAGGTCCTCCTAAACTTCCAGTATTGGGAAACTTGTATCAGCTTGGTGCTTTGCCTCACCAGTCACTCTGGCAACTTGCCAAGAACTATGGCCCTGTTATGCAATTCCACTTCGGCCAGATACCCGCTGTGATCATCTCCTCCCCAGAAGCCGCCAAAGAAGTCATGAAAGTTCACGACCATGCCAGTTGCAGCCGGCCATCCCTGGCTGGAACTAGGAGGCTGACATATAACTATCTGGACGTGGGGTTCTCACCTTATGGAGACAACTGGAGGTTCATGAGGAAAATGATCATACTGGAGCTGTTCAGCTTAAAGAGGGTGAAGGCATTTTGGTTTGTTCGGGAGGAAGAAGTTGGCCTGCTGATTGACTCCATCTCGGAAATATCAGCATCTGCCTCCACCTTAAATCTCACCGCGAAGTGTTACTCTCTCACAGCAAACATAACCTTCAGGATGTCTTTTGGGTTCAATTACCATGGTAGCGACTTTGACAAAGGCAGGTTTCATGAAGTGGTTCATGAAGCTGAGGTTGTAACAGGAACCATATCGGGAGAGGGGTGCCGTTTGGTTGGATTGTTGATAAATTCAATATTCAACAAGCAAGGATTGAAAGAGTTCTCCACGAGCTTGACACTTTCTACGGGCAAATCATCGATGAACACCTTAAGCCCGGAAGGGAAAGAGCTGAAGAAGACATGATTGATGTGCTGTTGGCGATCGAGAAGGAACAATCTCAACTACACGGTAGCAAATCTCAGTTCAGAAGAGAGAACATCAAAAGGCAGTTTTCCTGGTAAGCCTCCCCAATATATAGACTACGTTTCAATAGACTACGTTTCCACCAAAATTGGAATTTTTTCCTCAATCAGACACTAACTTTACTTGCCACTCAGAACCTGTTCTTAGCTGGAATTGACACTGCTGCATTGACTGTGAACTCGGCGATGGCAGATTTGTTGGCAAATCCCAGAATGATGAAGAAAGCACAAGACGAAGTCAGGGGCAGAGTTGGAGAGAAAGGCAGGGTAACTGAAGATGATGTTGAAAATTTGGAATACCTGAAGCTTGTAATCAAAGAAACTCTGAGACTCCGTCCGCCAGCCCCTCTTCTTCTCCCTAGGGAAGCATCGTCCCACTTGAAAATCAGCAGATATGATATTCCCCCCAAGACAATGATCTACGTCAATGCCTGGGGAATGGGACGGGACCCAAACTACTGGAAGAATGCTGATAAATTCATCCCTGAAAGGTTTGCAGATAGCTGTCTGGACTTCAAAGGGCAAGACTTCGAGTACCTTGCCATTTGGAGCTGGCCGCAGAATCTGTCCAGCAATTAACATGGGAATCATCACTGTCGAAATTGTACTGGCGAATCTGCTGTACTGCTTTGACTTGAAATTGCCAAATGGGATGAAGGCCGAAGATATGACCATGGAAGAGAAGAGTGGCGTCAGTCTTACTGTGGCCAGAAAGGAGCCTCTCTTACTCGTCCCTGTCAACTGGCTCAACAAGTAAACCAGCAGAAGCACATCAGCAGAGCAATATGAATCCATAGTGAAAATATTTGTGCTACTACTACTTGCAAATAAAAAAGGCTAAAGCATATGTGCTACTACTACTTGAAAAATATATGTGCTACTACTACTTGAAAATAAAAAAGACTAAACTATGTGTTACTACTACTCGAAAATATTCGTGCTACTACTATATGGGGTTTGTTACCGCACAATGAATGCTAAAATTAAAGCCAACAACACCAGAGGCAAACCGAAAATGGGAACGATGGGAAGGGACACTAGAGGTACGTACAATAATCCCTAAGCAAGATAACAGCTTTGAAGCCATGAATATTGAGCAGCAGTGCAGCAGGGAAAATGATCCAGTTCATGTAGGATTGATTCTCCTGACCGCAAGATAGTGGAGAGGGTACATTAGCTGCAGCAAGCATATAAAAGGCTACGTTGTGTGCATATATATTTGGTACAAGTATTTGAGTATAGTCTTCACCAATTGTCTCGATTCTGCAATTCTGATGGCAATTCTTCATCTTAAAGTAATCTCTTTTCTTTATTGTTTTCTTTTTAAAGCTCAGAGATGATCACAATACACCGATTGTACTTTATGAAAAGCATAAACGGCCACCACGCATCCCATCATCACATAGCAACAAGCATAATCATTAGACAAAAATGTAGACGAAAAGCATGGCGGCTCAGTATTTTCCAAAACCCCAAGTTTGTGCAGGGCCTTGGGTTGCGATCTGCACCGCTGGTACTGGTTGGGCAAAAAAAAAAAAAAATGTAAACACAAACTCAAATATTTAACAGGACAGAAGAAGAGAAGCCCAAATCTATAAGTAAATCTATAGCACTACTTAAGGACTGCATCTCGAAGAGAGATTTCACCATTCTCGACCCACAAATGGCTCTACCTGATGTCCCAGCCATATGGCTCCTTATTCTCTTACTTCTGCCCCTTGTGGTTCTCATCATCAGGAACAAGATCAACTTATCAGGAAGGAAAAGCAGCAACCTGCAGAAGCTTCCACCACCTGGTCCTCCTAAACTTCCAATATTGGGCAACTTGTATCAGCTTGGTGCTCATCCGCACCAGTCACTCTGGCAACTTGCCAAGAAATATGGCCCTGTTATGCAATTCCACTTCGGCCGGATACCCGCCGTGATCATCTCCTCCCCTAAAGCCGCCAAAGAGGTCATGAGAGTTCATGACCTTGCCAGTTGCAGCCGGCCATCCTTGGCTGGAACTAGGAGGCTGTCATACAACTACCTGGACGTGGCTTTCTCTCCTTATGGAGATAACTGGAGGTTCATGAGGAAAATGTTTATACTCGAGCTCTTCAGCTTAAAGAGGACGAAGGCGTTTCGTTTTGTTCGGGAGGAAGAAGTTGGCCTGCTGATCGACTCCATCTCTGAAATATCAGCATCTGCCTCCACAGTTGATCTCACCGAGAAGTGTTACTCCCTCACAGGAAACATAACCTTCAGGATGACTTTTGGGTACAATTACAACTGGAGCGACTTTGACAAAGGCAGGTTTCATGAACTGGTTCATGAAGCTGAGGTTGTTTCGGGAACCATTTCAGGGGAGGAGTGTTTCCCTCGACCATTTAGTTGGATTGTTGGCAAATTCAATGGTCATCAAGCAAGGATTGAAAGAGTTTTCCATGAGCTCGACACTTTCTACGAGCGTATCATCGATGAACACCTTAAGCCTGGAAGGGAAGGAGCTGAAGAAGACATGATCAATGTGATGCTGGCAATCGAGAAGGAACAATATCAATTACTCGGTAGCAAATCTCGCTTCAGAAGAGAGAACATCAAAGCAGTTTTCCTGGTAAGCTACCCCCCATCTATATACTTCAATCCCATCAAAATTTAAACTTTTCACCCCACTCCTTTGGACACTAACTTTACTTGCCAATCAGAACCTGTTCATAGGTGGAATCGACACCGCGGCAATGACTGTGAACTGGGCAATGGCAGAGCTGTTGGCAAATCCCAGACTGATGAAGAAAACACAAGATGAAGTCAGAGACATAGTTGGAGAGAAAGGCAGGGTAACTGAAGACGATCTTGAAAATTTGCAATACCTGAAGCTGGTAATCAAAGAAACTCTGAGATTCCATCCACCTGCCCCTCTTCTACTCCCCAGAGAAGTATCTTCTCACTTGAAAATCAGTGGATATGACATTCCTCCCAAGACAATGATCTACATCAATGCCTGGGGAATGGGACGGGACCCAAAATACTGGAAGAATGCTGACAAGTTCATGCCTGAAAGATTTGCAGAGAGCTCCCTGGATTTCAAAGGTCAAGACTTCGAGTACGTGCCATTCGGAGCTGGTCGCAGAATCTGTCCTGCAATAAACATGGGAATAACGACCGTTGAAATTGCACTGGCGAATCTGCTGTACTGCTTTGACTGGAAACTGCCAAATGGGATGAAGGCCGAAGATATGACCATGGAAGAGAAGAGTGGCGTCAGAATTACCGTGGACAGAAAGGAGCCTCTCCTACTCATCCCTGTCAACTGGCGCAACAAGTAAACCAGAAGAAGCACATCAGCCGACGGGCAATACAAATCCGCAGCAGCGAAACTAGTAGACTACTACTTGTAAATAAATAAGACACCACTAAGAACTAGCTCTGCGCCCGGCCTTTAGACGGGTTTGATATAAGTAGGTGTTTGTTTTCCTGCAATTAGCGTGCAGCAAAGAAAGAAACATAAGAGAACTATATCTTGGAACAACTTTGTCCTACAAAATGAAATCCACTAACACCAAACAATGGGAAGTGAAGCAACATGTACAATATAATAATTGGTCATAGCAAACTTAATGATTGATGCACGGAAGACTACTGCATTTAGGGTTGGCAAACAAAATCGGCAATTTTATCGATGGTGATTGACCGAGCGGTCATTAGAAAATATTGGGATAAAAAAAAAAACTGACTGAATCGGCCCATTACCTACCCGGCACTACGATGGACGCTGCTGCTACGGCGCCATCAACAAAGTTGCGCTGCATTGCATACTGAGGTGCATGGAAGCTCATCCTGAAACCCCAAAACCGCAACTAGGGCAAAGAGATCCAGACCGAATAGAAAGAACAAAAGGGGGTATTCGATTGCGCGTTTTCAGGGGCTGAATTGCGGTCGATGAACTGGATTCCCCGGTGGAATCCTGTGAATCAGGCAGAGTGTGACGACGTGATTAGGTGAATGCGCGTTGGAGTGGTGGAGGAGCACAGTCCGCGGCGGAGGAATTTTACCTGGCAGCGACGAATTGGACATGGGGGGAATGGATGGAAGCGGAATCCCCGCCGGACTGCGGTTCAGGAGGCTGATCCCCGACCTGAGAGGGGAAAAGAATCGAAGACCGGGAGCTGGTGAAGGGAAACATGTACCACATTTTCCCGCCAACATAACCCTCTCCATTAGGGCTGGAAGTTTGGTACCGGTATTTGGTATATACCGAATACCGTACCGAATTTGTCTATATTTGGTATTACCGAATACACGAATTATTTTGTGGGATTGGGATTGGGATTGAGTTTCAATTGTTATTCGGTATTAGGGATTACGGGATTGGGATCGGTATATACCGAAATACCGATCAATACCGAAATATAAGTTAATGTGTATTTTATCCTCTCAACTAGACTCTCTCATTCACTACTATGCGACCCTCAACCACCAATAGTGTCATTTAATTATACATAGATCATTACATCACTATTTCACACTAGTATTAGTCGTCTCTCAACCTCAAATTCATCAAATTAAGGATTACTAATTATAAAAACTTGAGATGTTAGCTCTAGGCAACTCAAGACTCTTTGTTTAGTCTCTTTGCCCTAAATTAAACAATAAAATCTAATTTATATATTTAATTATTAATAGCAAAGATAATTAATTTTGTATTTGATAATACCGATTGGGATACCGAGGTACCGATTGGGATACCGAAATATTTAGGGATTGGGATTGGGATACCGAAATTATTTAGGGATTGGGATTGATTTTAGAGTGTAATTCGGTATTCGGGATTTCGGTATTTGGTATTGGGATACCGATACCGTACCAATTTCCACCCCTACTCTCCATTCCCTTTCTGTATAGCATTAGTTTACTCAGTGTTATTAAGACCGGGCCCAGCTGGTCGGCCGGACCGTTAAAGCCGCCATCCGGTCTTAAAATCGGCTTGAGCCAATCATTTAGCCGCTACGGTTTTATAGAGCGATCTGCGTGCGGCCGAGGCGATTAACCGCTCGAGCCGGTCGTTCGGTTTTCCCCTTCCGGTCGTTTTGTTTAATAAAAAAAAAATGAAAAATTGAAGAAGAGCGGCGCCAGACCCTGCCGTCGTCAACACTTCTCGTCCTGGCTTTCCTTCGGCATCGTCGTCATCCCCAGTCAGTGTAGCTGCTCCAAGCTCGCCATCGCCAGTCTCCGTCCTCGTCCCCTCTTCCCATAGCAACTCCTCCGCTCCGTCGTCACTTCCCGTCTCAACGCTTCCCGTCGCCATCCCCAGTCCCTGTTGCCGCTCCCCGCTCGCCATCGCCAGTCCCCGTCCCCTCTTCCTCCTCTGATAGCCATGATTCTAGAACTTTTGTTACTCATGTTTTGGAATTTTTAACAGTTAAGAATGTAATCTACTAATTTAGTCATGGTTTACCATGATTAAGAAGTGTCCACTATTTATACTGATTGTTTATTAGGTATCGGTTTTCCAACGGTTTAATGTCGTTTGGACCGTTAAAGTCCGAGTCGTTCACGTTATCGGGTCGTACTCCGATTCGCTTTTGACAACATTGAGTTACCAATAAGTTTTAACCCGCCCCCATTATGCTGCACGAAACAAACAGCAGTAAATTATGGCCCAATGGTTGCCGCCAGCCCATAATCATATTGTTATCTTATAGTCCGTCAATTCAAAAGTACAAGTTTGCCAGTAAAGGCCCGTCTTTCATCTTTCTGGATTTTGCCAAATCTCTCATTCTCCTCCATTTCCACACAACTCGTTTGAAAAGTTGAGGGATTTCGTTATTATAAAAAAAAAATTTATAAATGGATGCGAAGCATCTATCCTTCATTCAAAACCAGCCGGGGTTCGGAAATCCCCCGAATGTCATACAAAATCCAATTCATCAAAGCAGGATCAGAAACAGGAATAACATGAAAGCCAAGCTCAAGCGAATGACCCCTCGCAGCAAGAAAATCTGCACATTTATTGCCCTCTCTATAAATATGGGAGACAGTGACCTCCCAATTCTTCCTGAGTAACGTTTAGAGCCGAGTGATAACTGTGGCGTGATGATGATTCTGGCCGTCCGAGCTCTGAATGAGCTGAACTATGCAACGAGAATCAAGCTCCATGCGGACACGGCGATAGCCCATGTCCCAAGCAGTTGAAGTCCTTCCACAGCGCCTCTCAACTCTGCCCGGGTAATGGAGCACATACCCAGGTTCAAAGCGAATGCCGCAACGCAACGTCCAATATTATCTCTAATCAGGCCTCCGGCAGAAGCAAGACCCGAATCATGTTCGACACAGCCGGCAGAAGCAAGACCCGAATCATGTTCCACTTAGGAGGAGGCGGCGTCCAGGAGATCAACTCCTCCGTTTTTGCGGGCGGTACAAGGTGATGAATGGCCCTGTCCTTGTCCATGGTCGTCCTTACGACAGTTATCCAAGCCAGGACGTGCTGTAGAAATTTTTCAACATTAATGACCTTGTTTGCGAAAACACGGTCGTTCCTGGTCCGCCAAAGAGACCAGCAACAAAGGCCAAACTGCAAGTTGAGCTGATCATGGCTGAGATATTTCGTCATCCATTCCTGCAGGGTGAGTCCGAAAAACAGCTGGTATTCAGAAGGTTGGAGCAATCGCATCCAAGTTAACCTGGCAAATTGACAGTCCCGCAACACATGCAGGACTGTCTCTTGATGAATCTCACACTGACTGCAATTAGTCTGGTCCGTCAAGTGTCTTCTCCCACGTTCCGCATTTGTCAAGAGTCTTCCACGCGCCGCGAGCCATAGGAAATGCTGGACGCGAGCTGGTCCTTGCCATCGCCAAATCTTCCTCCATTCGAACTCCTGTTCCAAATGTTTGTGGTTGGTCGCGAGCTCATAGGCAGAGTGAACTCGAAATCGCCCGTCAGCTTCAGGGCCCCATATTGCCACGTCTTCACCTGCATCAGCTTGGGGAGGTTGGATTCCCTGGACCTGCAAAATCATAGACTCAGGTAAGTATAGCCGAAGTCGGTCCAGGTCCCAGTCACCTTCACACGTCATGAATTCCGCTACTGGTGCGTGAATATCGCTGGGAACGTTCTCCTCGGCGACATGATCTAGCCGCCTCTCTCTGCTATCCACCCATCCATCAAGCCAGAAGGAAGTGCTTTGGCCGTCGTTGATACTCATGTGAGTGCCCTTCTCCATGATCGGCCAAGCTTTCTGAGTCCCCCGCTAGATCGTAGACCACCTCTTTGTAGACTTAGCCGTGAGGACGCCCTGGACAGTCTTGAAATATTTAGCCTGCAAAACACGCACCCACAACTCATCTGGCTTCTTAACAAATGACCAAGCCAGCTTTGATAGGAAGGCCAGGTTAAGTTCATGTGCTTTCCGGAGCCCCAAACCACCCTCCGCCTTAGGCTTGCACACCCGGTCCCAGTGGACCAAATGCATCCTCCGTCTGCTAGCCGTGGAGCCCCATATAAAGGACCGCACCCTCCTATCAATCAACTCACAAATTGTTATGGGGAGAAGCGTCGTCTGCATGGCGTAGGTCGGGAGGGAGTTCAGCACCGACACCGCCAAAGTCACCCTGCCTGCAAAACTCAACGATTCTGCTTTCCAACCAGAAAGTTTTTTATCAATACGGTCAATGATATATTTAAAAATAGTTGATGGTTGTCGACTATTTCAAAATCTCTCATTAAGTTCGGTACTTTGCCATTAAAAAAAAAATTATATGAATTTCGTTAGCGTTCGTTTTATATGCTAATTATTTGTTTCTAAAGCATTACATTAGTTTCTTTTTCCATTAATTGCATATGCACGATATTAACCATTACATTTCTGTTATCAACTTGTAGGCAAACCCCGTGGAATATTTTTTTTAGTGGTTTTCGATCAGTTAGGTGAACTGAACTGATCCCCATTCAAATTTGAGAATGACGAAAAAAGAACCAACGCATGAGTATTATTTGTGACTAAGCGTTAATGTTTAAGAACAATGAAAGGAAATGAGTGACTAACGCTCTCTCTTCTCTCCTCCCGCACGCTTCTATTTTTCGATCAATATCCAATCCCCTCAAGATTGGAGGCCTACGTTTCATCGTTGTCGTGTGAGTATAAATTGGGTTGAAGCCAATCAGAGTGAGATAATCAATATCGTCTTTTTGTATGTATAATCTAAACATATTTATTTGGACCCAACCCAAATAAAATGCACTCAAATTTAACTCAATCCAAGCCCAATACAAACTCAAACGATTAAACTTACATATGAATCTATTTGGCTCCAAACTAGTATTAGAACCAGCCATGGACATTCCTACTCAAACTATGGGTACATGGACCTTCCAACTTCCATCCAATAACCATTCATGAACCATATACATGCGGATAATAGATTATGTGTGCACAAACTAGAGTAATTTTATTGGGGATCCGATCTTGACAAGTATGATTATTGAGCTATCATGACGAAGTAATTGGGAGTTCTGCATGTTGATGGATTGTCGCTATTTTTGGTTGAGAGTTCAGTAGCTAACAGCAGGAATTTATTTGGATCGTTTTTCCCACGTTTATTAAGTGTATGGGAGAAGGCAAAAGAAAAAAACATTAAAATAAAATAAAAACTCTACTTGTATTCTTCAAGTGCACAGTAAATCATAGGGTTAATACCCAACATCTTGCCGGCGTTTGGAGCGGGTTAGGAAGCTGCCGGCGACTGGAGCTCCAGAAATGAGAGCGGCGGGTGCCCCTTTCACGAAAATAGTATCCTCTCTCTCTCTCTCTGCAACGAGTTTGGCGTATAGTCGAAGTGTTTCTCTTCTGCATTTAAGTTCTCAGGGCAATGAAAATAGTATCCTCTTGTGGGCCTCAAATTCCGGGAATCAGATCTTTTAGGATCTTCAGTGGTCCTTCGATACTTGTTCATTATAGTCTTAAGGGTTGAAAACACCCAATCTGCGATATCAGCAGATTCTAGAAGAGGTAAAGATATAGCTTTCCTTTTGTCCCACTACTAATTTGGTACAATCTTCTCCTTGCGATCCGCAAAATCGCACATGCCCCTTCTGAAGGATCTGCTGTGGCAAGAGCTCCGGGAGAAGATCCTTCCCTCATTCAGAAACTGACTACCAGGATAAAACCTGTTTAGTCTCACCAACGTGGGTATTCTCTCCCCATTTCAAGTTCATTCTCTTATCTTAGTCGGAATTCCTCTCCTCCGGCTTAGATGCCGTTTTTGTGATTCTTTCTCCAAAACCAACTCTGCCGGAAATTATACTGATCTGAGATATGAGAAGGGTCGGGTATTAAAAACTCTCTCTCAGCTTGTCTTTTGTGCTTGATCGGTAAAAGGAAAAGGAACTGCAGGAAATCGACAGAGAAAAGAAAGGGGAGAAAAAAAAAAAAAAATTTTAACTATATCAGAGGCTTCCAAGCTCTGTTTATCAGACCTTATATGGCCTGCTTAGGTACCCGATTTCGGACCTCTTCTTTTATTCTAAACCCCTGAGGGTTGTGAAACGCTCGAACCAATTCAATAAAGAGCTGTATGCTTGTTTAGCTAAGGGCTTAGGATCGTTTATTTTTACTTAAATATTTCTTCCACCTCCAACTAACGGATGGGTATACTTTTCTGGAATTGTCGTGGTATCGGCCCCATCACTACAACGAGATCATTGAAAGAGATTGTGAACCGATATACTCCATATTTATTGTTTCTGAGTGAAACCAAAAATAAAGATGATGAAGTTAAAAAAACAATTCAACAAATTGGTTTTAAGGAGGTTGAGTTAGTGAGCGCTGTAGGATCATCAGGTGGACTTGCGGTAGCTTGGAAACCCGACGTCCAATGTTCTATTATTGGAAGGGATCGTCACTTCTTTCATATAGAATGCCAACATCCTGAGTTGGGGATCGCCTCGTTTATTTTTGTTCATCTTAGTTGTGAGACAAGAAGCAGGGAATCCCAATTGAATGGCATTTCCAATCTAGTCATTGCTTGCTCCTATCCAACCTTCGTGCTAGGGGATTTCAACTGTATTCTCCAGTCATCTGAAAAGACAGGGGGTAGGAGCCCTGCATTTACTACTCTCGACCAGCTAAGAGATTTCTGCGCTCAAGCTGGGTTACAGGATATGGGTTTTTGTGGTCCCCAATACACTTGGTCTAATCGTCAATCGGCGGAGGATCACATTATGGTCAGACTTGATAGAGTTCTTGGAACCTCCCTCGTTCTTAACACTTGGCCTCAAGCCCAAGTAACTCACTTAACGGACTCGGGATCTGATCATCGAATGATTATTTTACATCTCGAATCTCAAATTAAATTGGGTAGGAGTCGCTTCCAATTCGATCGTCGCTGGACAAGTAATTCTGAAACAAAAGAAAAGGTGCTTGGAAATTGGTGGGACCAAGTAAATGGTACAAGACAATTTAAGTTCTTTTCCCAATTAAAAGGTGCTCGATATAACCTTGTTGAGTGGATGTCTAAAGGAACCACCAACTCAGCGCGTCAGATTAGAGAAATAAGGGATGCTATAGACAAAGCTCGAGATGCCCCCTCAGTGGATTGGGATTTGATCAGGTCACTAGAAACCCAGTTAACCACACTCTATCTACAAGAGGAGATTTTCTGGAAACAAAAATCGAGAACGACTTATCTTCAGTTAGGGGACTTAAATACTCATTTCTTCCACCAATCCACTATTCAAAGAAGGAGGAAAAACATTATTAAAATTCTTAACGACGATAACGGGGATCCCCATTCAGATGAACAAAGTAAAGCCTTAATATCTGTTGGCTTTTTTGTCAACCTTTTCACATCAAATGGAGTAGATTCACTTCTTATGGTGGCTAACCTAGGTCTTGTCAGTAAAGTGGATTCCTTCATGAACTCCTCCTTAACAACCCTGGTTTCTCGAGAGGAAATTAAGAGAGTTACTTTCACTATTGGAGCTTATCAGGCTCCGGGAATAGACGGCTTTACCGGAATTTTTTACCAGACCTATTGGGAGGATATTAGTAACTCGCTATGTGAGGCCATTCAAGCTTTCTTCCATTCAGGAAGACTCCTCCATAATTTTAATCACACTCTAATTACCCTGATTCCCAAAGTTCCGAATGCTGTATACATGAGACAAATGCGACCTATAGGATTATGTCAAGTTTTCTACAAAATTATTGCAAAAATCATGGCGGATAGACTAAGCCATATAT